GGTAACTTTGGATATTCATGTTAACAATATTTTAAGAATAATTCAACAATTTATTTAATAAACATGATTTTTAAGAAAATGTAAATTTTGTCCAAGCAGTTCAGTTTAATGAATGAATAATCATGATCACATGCATCAAAATATTTAGAACAGCTGTAATTTCAAATATACTTTTTAAAACTGTTTATATTTGCCAGACTTCATGCTAGATCATTCCTGGAAAATATAATTACTGGGCTTGCAATAAAAAAAAAAAGGTTGGATGCTAAATTTAAATTGTAGCATTTCATATATTTATTTATTTGTTTATTCAATAATTTAACATGTTTATTCACTGTTTATTATATTGCTAGCAGTGCGTTGAGTTCTGGGGGTATAATGTTGAATGTACAAAATAAATTTCCTACCCTTTTTGAACTTAGTTTTTATAAGAACAATCAAGACTGCAGCCTGCATTTCCACAGTCATGTGCATAGACTGAGGGTTCCTTGAGCTGTGTGCTTTTGCAGCATGTCCAACTGCATGCTGTGGGTCTGAAGAAAGATATTTATTCCAGTTAGGGATAATTTGAATAAATCTATGTAGTACAGGGGACATAATAACAAATTTTATTTGGCATAAATTAGATATTCGGGGCTTTTCAAGGCAGTAGGCAGAGAATAAAACATGAATTAATTTATCCTACTCACAGGCCAGGAAACTGTTGGTACTGAGAAGATAAATAAAATTCCAACTGATGACAATTGATCTGGAACCAGACCTCATAAGGCTTGACTCCCACCTCATAAGTTCTGAAGCAGAGTCTCGCTCTATCTACCAGGCTGGAGTGCAGTGATATGATCTCGGCTCACTGCAACCTCCACCTCCCAGTTCAAGCTATTCTCATATCTCAGCTTCCTGAGTAGCTGGGATTATAGGCACCTGCCACCATGGCTGGCTAATTTTTGCATTTTTAGTAGAAATGGGTTTTCACCATGTTGGCCAGCTGGTCTTGAACTCCTGACCTTATGAGATCTGCCCACCTCGACCTTCCAAAGTGTTAGGATTATAGGCATGAGCCACTGTGCCTGGTCCCCACCTGGCTCATTATTTGACTTCATAATGTTTAAGACCTTGGTGGCATTATTTCAGGTGAAGTGAAATTGTAGTTATCTATGGAATACAGGGTCAGAGAAAGATGAATAAATAAACTTCTCAGATAATTTAAAAATCTCACTGCATTCATTTCTATTGCCTCTACCACCAAAGTATATCTATTAGTAGCTCAAATAGTAAGCTTAAATTCACCTCTGATCTTTCTGTTCACCTCAAGTGAGAGTACAAATGGGCAATTGGAGAGAAGAGGAGGAACAAAGCTCTTGGGCAATACATTCTATGTGAACTGACAAGGAAGCCACATCCTCCTCCACAGCCCCATCCGCTTGCTTGGAATTCTGAAAGAGCACTTTTAGAATTACAAGTGTGAGGGCTCTTCTTCTCTTAAGTATTGATGTTTTAAATGATTATGGCTATAGTATCTGTTTGGTTTAATTTGCATTTCTTTTAAAACTTGCTTTTATTATTAGCTTATATCCTTTTCATTTTTTGAGGTAGTTTGACATTTTCTTATTTGTAACATCTTTTTATAATTTTTTTTCCTTTGGTCATATGATACAGGTATTTTTAAATTTAGTTTTTAGCTTTACTTATGGGGCTTTTAAAAAAAATCTGTATTCTGTTGATATTTTTTTTCCCCTGAGGTAGAGTCTCACTCCCATCGCCCAGGCTGGAGTGTAGTGGCATGATCATGGTTCACTGCAGCCTTGACTTCCTGGGCTCAGATGATCCTCCCATCTTAGTTTCATGAGTAGCTGGGACTAGAGGTGTGTGCCACCATGCCTAATTTTTGTACTTTTAGTAGAGATGGGCTTTCACAGTTGCCCAGACTACTTATGGTGCTTTTCATAGAAGTTTGCATTTTGTGTGTAGTCAAATTAGTTGGCTTCTTGTTTTTTTTTTGTTTTTGTTTTTGTTTCTTGAGACAGAGTTTTGCTCTTGTTGCCCAGGCTGGAGTACAATGGCATGATCTCAGCTCACTGCAACCTCCCTGGTTCAAGTGATTCACCTGCCTCAGCCTCCTGAGTAGCTGGGATTACAGGCATGTGCCACCATGCCCGGCTAATTTTTTATATTTTTAATAGAGATGTAGTTTCACCATGTTGGCTAGCCTGGTCTCAAACTCCTGACCTTAGGTGATCCACCCACCTCGGCCTCCTAGGGTACTGGGATTCCAGGGGTGAGCCACCACACCTGGCCAAATCATTTGATGTTTTTCTTAATACTTTTTGTCCCCTGGCATCACGTTACCCTGTCCTAGAGTTATGTAAATGTTAACCTGTAATTCATTTTATTTTGTGGTTTTTATATTTTACATGTGGAATTTAATTATTTAACACATCTGAAAAAAAAAGTTAATCTGTAGGTAAATCCAAAGGAAAGAGAGTCTGTTGTTCTACTTCTTTCTTGGTTTTCACCTGCCACTTGTCACTTGCCAACAACTCTGAAAAAATAACAGCTTGCTTTATTGCTCCAGCTAAAGAATACTCTGTCAATAAAAACTTCACTGACTAATTTATAAACAAAGAGGTACAAGACTCAGGATAAATTCTAACTGAAGGGAATTTAATGGTACCCTCCAAATAAGACAGACATTTGAGCATTATTTTCCCTAACTGAGTTGGATAGTGAGAACTCTGAGATACCTGAGTGAGCCCTTAGTGTGAATATATCACCAGGGCATTCTTTAGGAGTATGCTGGGAGAAGAGAAGTGAGGGTCCAATGTTCCTTCAAAGAACAAAGGAACAAATAATTAACAGATTTTAAGAAGAGCCACATAGTCTTAGCATCTGGCAGCACTGAACGCAGGGGAGCAGTGGTGTACTGATGCAGGCAGACTTTCCTTACATACCTAGCAGCATTTCTGGCTCCACGAGGAAGATGTGAAACAAACTCCAGATGCAGGAGTCTCCACATTTGCACCATCTAAAAGTTGAGTCATGGTTGAAGAATGTTATTTGTGGTTCCAGAAACTTGCTTCCTTTAGTATTCTGAATGAAATGAAATGTGTTTTTCACATCAGCAATTATTGAGTATTTACAAGTCTCTCCTGAATAGGATCCATAGTTCCCCAGTGTTCATTGCCAGCCACCTACTTCCTGTGCCTGTACTTCTGAGCATGCATCGAATTCTATCTGTATCTTTTTATGGTTTCCGTTTTCCCCAGTGGTTTGACTAGTGAGACACAGAAGTCAGGATAAGTATCTAAGAGACACCATAAACACTTTCCCCTTTGTGGAGATATCCTCCCTCTAAGGAACTAATCTGCCTGTGGGTGTGGTGGGTGTGGTTAATGCAGGAGGAGGAGGAGAGAGAAAGAATATGTGTGTATATGTGTTCATCTGAGTGTATGTGTTTATGTGTATTTATTTATATGTGATTTTCTCTCCAAAATAAACTTCATTCCTTTTTTAAAAAATTCCATATAATTAACAAACATTTGTCAGTTATACATTAACTACACACCTACTGTGTGTCAGACTCTGAGCTAAACCTTGAGTATACATAGACAGGAGCCAACAAGGTCAAGACTTCACAGAGATTACATACTTGTTTTGGGCTCAAATATGAAGATATGAAGCAAATCTCTATTATATAATTTGAACTAGACTTGCTTCATACTTGGTGCCTAACCTGGAACACCTAAAATTTTTTTAATCTATATGTCATTTGCTTAATTTTGTTATAGTGAACATAAAGAATCTCCTGTATCAATTTTTTTTTTAATTTTTTATTGCATTTTAGGTTTGGGGGTACATGTGCAGAACATGCAAGACTGTTGCATAGGTACACACATGGCAGTGTGTTTTGCTTTCTTTCTCCCCTTCACCCACATTTGGCATTTCTCCCCAGGCTATCCCTCCCCACCTCCCCCTCCCACTGGCCCTCCCCATTTTCCCCCAATAGACCCCAGTGTTTAGTACTCTTCTCTCTGTGTCCATGCGTTCTCATTTTTCATCACCTGTTTGAACACGTGCGTTTGAAAAAGTTTAGTTATCAGTAAAGGCAGATTTGTAATTCTGTTGACTGACATCATGATACAATGTTAGTGAAGATGAAAGTTTGGCACTGTAAATGGTTATGAATTCTTTCAAGGATATAAGGGAATAAAAGAAACAAATTGAGGTGAGAACCTGAGATTAATATAAACGTAGCAAGAACTCCAGAAGGGAACACAACTGAGCTTAAGGGTAAGGCTGTGTAAGTGTAGAGGGAATTCTTGAAAATGAAATCCCTGTACTAACACTATCAGTATCACTTGAGACCTATTAGAAACACATGATCTTAGTATTTACTGAGATCTAGTGAGCCAAAAACTTGGAATGTAGAGCCCAGTTGTCTGTCTAACAAACTTTTTTTTTTTAATTTTAAAATATGTTTATTGACCGTTTGGATATATTATTATTATTATTTTTAAAATTTTTTTATTGCATTTTAGGTTTTGGGGTACATGTGCAGAACATGCAAGACAGTTACATAGGTACACACATGGCAGTGTGTTTTGCTTCCTTTCTCCCCTTCACCCACATTTGGCATTTCTCCCCAGGCTATCCCCAAACTTTCTAGGTGTTTGTAAGGCACACGGAAGCTTAAAAGCCACTATGGATGACCATGGAACATTAAAGTCTGGGTTAGGGATATTTGAAACCACTTCTAAGTTTGGGAGAGATTTCAGTAGAACTGGAAATTAAACATGTTTGGGAGACAGGGTTAAAAATGGTATTTGAAGGGATAATTGGCCCATGGAACTGAGTTACAGGTGATGTTGTATGTCAGGCTAAGACTTAGATATTTAGAAAATCATTACTAGAGATTAAGGGTCTGAACCCTCGTGTGAAGGGTGCAGCACCTAAGCTGGAGTCCGGTAGAAGCGGGCCGGCACCCCCTTTTCACTTCTAGGCCAGCCTTAAGATTAGACATGGCCCAGAACTTGAAGGACTTGGCGGGACGCCTGCCCGCCGGGCCCCGGGGAATGGGCACCACGCTGAAGCTGCTGCTGGGGACTGGCGCTGTGGCCTATGGTGTCCGCGAATCCGTGTTCACCGTGGAAGGCGGGCACAGAGCCATCTTCTTCAATCGGATCGATGGAGTGCAGCGGGACACTATCCTGGCCGAGGGCCTTCACTTCAGAATCCCCTGGTTCCAGTACCCCATTATCTATGACATTCGGGCCAGACCTCGGAAAATCTCCTCCCCCACAGGCTCCAAAGACCTGCAGATGGTGAATATCTCCCTGTGAGGGCTGTCTCGACCCAATGCTCAGGAGCTTCCTAGCATGTACCAGCGCCTAGGGCTAGACTACAAGGAAGGAGTGTTGCCGTCGATTGTCAAGGAGGTGCTCAAGAGTGTGGTGGCGAAGTTCAATGCCTCACAGCTGATCGCCCAGCACGCCCAGGTATCCCTGTTAATCTGCCGGGAGCTGACAGAGAGGGCCAAGGACTTCAGCCTCATACTGGATGATGTAGCCATCACAGAGGTGAGCTTTAGCTGAGAGTACACAGCTGCTGTAGAAGCCAAACAAGTGGCCCAGCAGGAGGCCCAGCGGGCCCAGTTCTTGGCAGAAGAAGCGAAGCAGGAACAGCGGCAGAAGATCGTGCAGGCCGAGGCTGAGGCCGAGGCTGAGGCCGAGGCTGCCAAGATGCTTCGAGAAGCTCTGAGCAAGAACCCTGGCTACATCAAACTTCGCGAGATCCGGGCAGCCCAGAATATCTCCAAGACGATCGCCACATCACAGAATTGCATCTATCTCACTGCTGACAACCTTGTGCTGAACCTACAGGGTGAAAGTTTCACCCGAGGAAGTGACAGCCTCATCAAGGGTAAGAAATGAGCCTAGTCACCGAGAACTCCATCCCCAGAAGAAGTGGATCTGCTTCTCCTGTTTTTGAGGAGCCAGCCTGGGGTCCAGCACAGCCCTACCCCCACCCCAGAATCATGTGATGGTCCCCTGCACCTGTCCCCCAAACCCCTCTTGGATTAAGGAAGACTGAAGACCAGCCCCTTTTCTGGGGAATTACTTTCCTCCTCCCTGTGTCGGCCGGGGATGTTGGGACAGTGTGTGATTTCTCAATGATTTCCTACAGTGTTGTTCCCTCCCTCAAGGCTGGAAGGAGATAACCACCAACCCAGGAATTCTCAATAAATTTTTATTACTTAAGCTCAGAAAAAAAAAAAAAAGAAAATTATTACTAGATTAAACATCTAGAGAAGCTTTTGAAAGAGGTCTGGGATAGGCAGAAAATAGTGGAGAAGATTATTCAGGCATTGTCTGAAATGGAGTGACCTGGGTTAAAAAAGGAAGCACTTGGGTGGGAGTAGAGTTGAACTTAAAGAGAAGGTGGTGAGAAAACAAAGAAAATTATGACATAGAAAGTATTAGTCCTAGTTTGAATATTTTCACTTATTAGCTGTAAGAGCTTGCTGTGCTCCAGTTTCCTCAAATATTAAAACCATGTTTATCATCCCTGTGTAACTTATAGGACTAATATGATAAATGAGATAATAGAGTTGAAAATATTTTATAAATGTTTTAAAATAAATTTATTTAAAAATTTTTATAATTATATAATTATAATTAAATGTCATTAAAGAGCCTCAGAGGTAGATTTCTAATTTTCTATTGTCTCTTAATTAATGTCAAAAAACCATTCCAGAATTAGAACTTCTTAGGGTCTAGAGGACTTCCTATTCCTCTGGAGCAACTAGAGGATTCTTTTCCCCTCCCCAAGTATATATTCTCAGATAGGTTACAGATACAAATTCCTTTAAAAAGAAACGAGCAGAGAGTGGTGGTGCACACCTGTAATCCCAGCACTGTGGGAGGTTGAGGCAGGAGAATCACTTGAGCCCAGGAGTTCAAGAACAGCCTGGCTAACATGGTGAAACCCCATTTCTACAAACAAACAAGCAAACAAACAAATAAACAAACACCAAAATTTGCTGAGCGTGGAGGCACATGCCTTTAGTCTCAGCTACTTGGGCAGCTGAGGTGGGAGGATCATGTGAGCCTGGGGAGGTTGAGGATGCAGTTAGCTGTGATTGCATCACTGCGTTCCCAGCCTGGGTGTCAAAATGAGACCCTCTCTCAAAAAAAAAATGTATAAAAAACCCAAAGGTTTTAAATTTGACAATTAGAAATAAGAGTTTAAAAATGCCCATTTCTTTCTCTAGTATATTGCCAACAAAACAGGGGGATAATTCTTTTATAATATAAATAAGAGTATGTTACTTCCCTGCTCAAAACCTTCCAAATGCTTCTCATCTCATGCAGAATTACATATAAAACATGAATAAAATAAATTGAAGAAAATACAAATAAATAGAAAATACTCTGTGTTCATGAATTAAAAGCATTAATATTGTTTAAATATCTAGATTACCCGATGTGATTTTGAGAGTCAATGCAATCCCTATTAAAATATCAGTGACCTTGTTCAGAGCAATAGAAAACACAGCCCTAAAATCCATATGGAATCACAAAATCCCTCAAATAGCTAAGGCAGTTATGAACAGAAAGAACAAAGCTGAGGCATCACACTGATTTCAAACTATACTACAAAGTAATAGTAATTCAAACAGCATGCCACTTAAAATTGGTGTAAAAAAATGACTCATCAACCAGTGGAAAAGAATAGAGAGCTCACAAGTGAGCCTAGGCATGGTCAACTGATTTCTGACAAAGGGGCCAAGAACACACATTGGGAAAAGGATAGTCTCTTCAATAATGGTGTTGGGAAAACCAGATATTCATATGCATAAGAATGAAATTGGACCCTTATTTGACTCTATACACAAAAATCAACTACACACACACACACACACACACACACACACCCAGCAGTCTCAGTTCTGGGTATTTACCTAAAAGATTTGAAATCAGGATGTCAAAGAGATGTCTGCCCTCCCACATTCCTTGCAAACTTATTCACTATAGTTGAATTATGGAATCAACCTAAATGTCCATCAATAGATAATAAAGAAAATGTGGTGTATGTACACAGTGGAATAGCATTCAGCCTTAAAAAGAGGGAAATTTTGTCATTTGTGACAATATGGATGGAACTGGAGAATATTATGCTAAGTGAAATGGGGCAAGCCCAGAAAGACAAATATACCGCATGTTTTCACTTATTTGTGGAATCCCCAAATTTCAAACTCAAGGAAGCAGGACAGTAGAATGGTGGTTACCAAAGGCTGTGGGAAGAGGGGTCTGGATAATGGTGAGGCAACGATGGGCAAAGGATGCAAAGCCTCTGACAGGAGGAATAAGTGTTTTTGTTTTTTTTTTTTTTCTTGGCAATATATTGCCCAGGGTGGTGAACATAGAAAATAATGTATTATATATTTTAAAATTGTTAAGATAATGAATTTCAAATATTCTTTTCTCTTTTTTTGAGACAGAGTCTTACTCTGTCACCCAGTCTGGAATACACTGATGCAATCTTGGCTCACTGCAACCTCTGCCTCCTGCATTCAAGTGATTCTTGTGTCTCTGCTTCCTGAGTAGCTGGGATTACAGGCATGCACCACCATGCCCAGCTAATTTTTGTATTTTTAGTAGGGAGAGGGTTTCACCATGCTGGCCAGGCTGGTTTTGAACTCCTGGGCTCAGATGATCTGCCTGTCTCGGCCTTCCAAAGTGCTGGGATTACAAGCATGAGCCACGGCGCCCCGCCATAAATTTCAAATATTCTTACCACAGAAAATATTTGAGGTGATGGATATGTTAGCTGATTTAATTATTCTGCATTATGTTCATAATCATAGTATTACTTTGTACCCCATACACATACACAATTCTAATTTGTCAATTTATAATTTTTTTAAAAAAGTTATTACTATATTTTACAAGGTCCTACAGAATTTGGAACCCTGTTCACTCCCTGGCTTCATCTCTAATACTCTTCCTTTTAAACTCTTTTTTGTTTTGAGTTTTATTTCTTATTTTTTAAATTAATTTAGTTTTTTTATTGTACTTTAAGTTCTGGGGTACATGTGCAGTTTTTTTTTTTTTTTGAGACAGGGTCTTGCTCTGTTGCCCAGGTTGGAGTGCAGTGGTGCAATCTCAGCTCACTGCAACCTCCGCCTCCAGGGTTCAAGCGATTCTCCTGCCTCAGCCTTCTGAGTAGCTGGGATTACAGGCACGCGCCACCACACCCAGCTAATTTTTGTATTTTTAGTAGAGATGGGTTTTCACCATGTTGGTCAGGATGGTCTTGAACTCCTGACCTCATGATCTGCCCACCTCAGTCTCCCAAAGTGCTAGGATTACAGGTGTGAGCCACCGAGCCTGGCCTTAAACTCTTTACTCCAGTCAGACCAACCTCCTTGCTGTTACTTGGATACAATGGTGTCTCCAAATCTTAAAGATAATTTGCTTCCCTCTCTTTGGAAGGCTCGTCTCTCACTGTCTACCTGGCTCATTCCTTCATCTGCTTCAAGCATTTGTTTAAATATTGCCTTCTCAGTGTAGCCTCCCTGGTCATCCTGTTTAATGATGACAGCTCTTTTCTTTCTTCCACACTTCCTGTCCTCTTTGCCCTTTTTGCATAGCACTTATTACTTTCTGATATGCTATATATTTTACTTATTTTTTTTATTGTCTGTCTCTCCCTTATGAGAGTGTAAACCCCTGGTGGATAGTGATTTTGACTCTTTTGGTCATGGTATATATCTAGTGCTTAGGACCTAACAGGTGTTCAATTAATATTATCTGAAGGAAAGAATGACCACGATTTTACTATTTTATTTTTATTTTTTTTACAATTTTACTATTTTATGTGATGTTAAAACATATGCTGCTTACATAAGGATTAAACTTTCAGTTTGTCCTTGTCTGGAAGACTTTCAACCATCAAGAGCCAAGGGGTGGAGGGGCAAAAAATTGTTCTGTTACTAAATCCTTTGGCTCTGTATTCATTAGACATTTAAATTTGATTCTTTCTTCACTTTAAACATATTTAACAGTCTTCAGAAATGCCTTAAGTATAACTGCTCTTCTATCTTCCATCCCTATCTCTAGTAATCAAAACTATACTGTATGAAATAGGACAGATAAAATGCCCTCATATATCATCTACTGGAGTCACCTGTGTTGAAAATACGGTTGTTTCATTTGGAATGTAATATGAATCAACTATGGTTTAGCTCTGCCATGTTAGTTGAGAAATAAAACAAAGAAGGATCTTGATAAGAAAAGTTCGCCTTCAAAGTGTGTAATGGAGAAGTAGAATCAGAAAATCAGGTCTTTCTTAATTAATCTTTTATGTCTGGACAATGGTTTGCTTGGTCTCTTGTAGATGACTTCATTCTCATTCTATCCTCAAGACCTTCTTCAATGCAGCCTTCATCTCCTTGTTTCATAAGCTGTAAATCAGGGGGTTTAAGAATGGGGTCACCACAGAATAGGACAAAGTTATAATCTTCTGAATTGCAGCTGGGTTATCAGTTTTGGGGCTCACATACATTGCCAATAGGGCCCCAAAGAATAAACACACCACTGTTAGATGAGATCCACAGGTGGAAAGGGCTTTCTGCTGGCCAGCTGCTGAAGGGACTTTTGATACAGCTATCAATAAAACCAAGTAGGAACCACAGATGTACAGAAGAGTGAGCATGATGATGGGGGAGCTCAGGGTATAGAAGATGATCTTTTTTTTTTTTGAGATGAAGTTTCGCTCTTGTTACCCAGGCTGGAGTGCAATGGCGCGATCTCAGCTCACCGCAACCTCCGCCTCCTGGGTTCAGGCAATTCTCCTGCCTCAGTCTCCTGAGTAGCTGTGATTACAGGCACGGGCCACCATGCCCAGCTATTTTTTTTGTATTTTTAGTAGAGACAGGGTTTCACCGTGTTGACCAGGATGGTCTCGATCTCTTGACCTCGTGATCCCCCCCCGCCTCGGCCTCCCAAAGTCCCGGGATTACAGGCTTGAGCCACAGCTCCCGGCCAGAAGATGATCTTAGTGATAGGAGCAGGGGCACAAGACAGACCTATCAGTGGGTCCATGTCACACACAAAGTGATTGATGATGTTGGGGCCACAGAAAGGCAATTGAGAGAGTTGCACAGTGGAGATGGAGTAACTGAGGAACCCAAACACCCAGGAAAAAGACATCAAGATGAAGCAGAGTTGTAGGTCATGATGGTGGGGTAGTGCAGTGG